CTGTTTACAGCCTCCCAAGAGCTGGGACTACAGGCATGCACCACCGCACCCAGTCTCAGTTGCCATCTCAGTGTGCCCTGGGGCGGGGCTGGCAGGGGCTGGCACAGCTGGCCCAGGGATCAAACCCCGGCCCCCATGCCTGTTTATAGGCACTTTAATCTGCTGAGCTATTTGGCCGGCCCTCTTTCTCTTCTCTTCTCTTTTCCTTTCTTTTCTTTTGTATTTAGGACAGGGTCTACAGGGTCTCCAGGGTCTCACTACACAGATCAGACCCATAGTGATTATCCTGTTTTCAGCTTCCTAAGTGCTGGGATTACAGGTGCGTGCCATCATGCTCAAACTCAATTGCCATCTCAGCGCACCCTGGGGGCGAAGTCAGCATGGCACACACAGGATCGAACCCCAGCCGCTGCGCTCTGCCTAAGCAGGTGCTTTAGTCCACTGAGCTATCTGGCCAGCCCATCTTTTTATTTAAAATAAAAACAAAATTAGATATATTAAGTGGAGCCTTAAGTTTTGTGAAAGTCCCTGCTAGGCATGCACGTATCTACCTCACATGACAGACAGAGCCCACACTTCCCACCTTTTTAGGGACAATTAAGAAAATGAATTGGGGCGGTTATCTGGAGAGAGAAAGATGAGCATGGGCCAAGTGCTGACTGCACCAAGCGACGAGCACACAGGAGGCTGCTGGAGTAGAGCGAGAACTCCACTAGTCAAATGGACTATGTAAGAAACGAACCTTGAACCATGCCTTACATCATATATAAAAATGAACTCCAAGTGGATAACAGACCTTAATGTAATTACCAATGCATTGGAACTTCTAGATGGTTGCATTTTGGATTAGGAAGAGATATCTGAGATCAGATGCAAAAATACCAAATCATAAAACAAAAAGGAAAGGGAAAAATACATTAGACTTCATAGAAATGAAGAACTTTGTGTGTGTGTGTGTGTGTGTGTGTGTGTGTGTGTGTGTGTGTGGTGCCAGGGATTGAATTCAGGATCTTGCACTTTCCAGGCAAGTGCTTATTCTACTGAGCTATCTCCCCAGCCCTGAAGAACTTCTATTGTTCAAAACTAAAAGGGGAATTTTTTTTTTTGAGATAAGGTCTCACTATGTAGTCCAGGTTGTCCTCAAACTCACTAGCAATCTTCTTGCCTCTGTCTCTCCAAGTCTTGGGATTACAGGCGGGTCATACCACACCGGGCACAGGAAATTCTGTTTTAAGCAGAAGGCGCAGATCTTCGGAAAATGTGCAAAACACATACTCAAAAGGATTTGTATCCAGTATATATAAAGAGCTCTCACAACTGAATACTAGAAAACTAACAATTGAAAAAATAAGCAAAAATTTAAATAGACATTTAGCTCAAGAGAATATATGGGTACCAGCAGCAATGTGATGCTCAATATTATTCACAGGGAAAATGTAAATTAAGCTACAGTTCACTGTTATTAGAATAGTGTTTTAGGCAGGCAACGCTGTACACTACACACCATATACTGTATAACCACCATGTAAATAGAAATCCTACTACGTTACCCAAGAAAAATGATAACATAAATCCACAGAAAGTCCTATATGTGACTATTTGTAGTAGTTTAAATACAATGGCCCTAAAACTGGAAACAATCTAGGTGTGAATTAGGAATTTCCTGAACTGATGAATTATTTAGAAAAATTATACGACATACACATAAATCAGAATGCTACTCAAAGCACAAAGAACAAAAGGTTTATACAAGCAACAACATGGATGAATCTTAAGAGCTGGAAGGAGGCAACCACCAAGCTACGCGCTACATGGTTCTATGTACGGATGTTCTGGAAAATCACAAAACTATAGGATGAGAAATTAGAGAAGCAGTTGCCCCAGGTTAAGTTTGGGAGGGAGACACTCATGATATGGGGGTAGAAGGAAGATTTTGGGATGATGGAGATCTCTTAGCTCTTGTTCATGATGACAATTTTAAGGCCGGTTGGTTGTTAAGATTTTTGGACCACATATTGGGGCAAATTTTACCGTATTTAAATTATTCTCAAAATTAAAATGTAGAAAGTACCAAAGAAATCAAAACAAGCCCTTTCAAATTTCCTAAAATCTTCAGGGAAAGAGGAGGGCAGCGGATTTCTGAGTCCCGCTGGCTGAGCCCTGGTCCACCCCTGCTTCGGGCCACCCATCTCACTGGCTCTAAAGCTGGCATCCAAAGTTTGAGCAACTGTGTTTCTCCAACTGAACAACCCATGGCATCCTCCCAGCACTCGCCATAGCCAGATTCCTTCCCCCTGGCATTTAGTTCTCCTATTTAGCCCTTGCAGGCTTGCCCAGTGCTCCCTCTCCAGCACCCCAGAACCCCGGGTTAACACCTCCAAATACACCAGGCACTTTCATGCAGCCTCGACTTCACTTCTGCTCTTCCTTCTGCCGGACTCTCATCATCTGATGCCGTCCCTGAACCGTCTCCTAGCTGCTTCTTGTTGCTCTTTTTAAAAACTTATTTATACATTCAATCAACAAATATTTAAGTTCCTACAGAGGGGCTGACCCTGGGGACACAACTAGGAATCAAGCCAGTTTTCTTGGATCACTCTAATCAAGGTTACTCTCTCCCTCTCCTTTTCTCACCAGATTGCTCAGATTGCACTCATAGCCCTGACTATATTGTACTCTAAATAATTGCTAAGTACGAGTTTGCAAGTCCTCAAGGATGAGAACTTGGCTCATTTAGGGCATTAGAGGCAGAAGGCGATCAAGGAGAAATCGCCTATGGTTCGGTAGCACACACCTGGGGTTAAAGCTTTAAAACCTGTCACATGGTGACAGTTACTGGGCAAGCAGTCAGCTCTCCAAGCCCTAGTTACTTCATCTTTCTATGGAAACTACTAATGCCTAATGCAAAGTGCAACACAATTGTGAGGATTATGGTTATTCTCACATCACACTGTATTAGTACTACATACTGTGCACGTGGCCCACCTAGGTACAGAGGGTTGCCCAGTAAACGTTGATTGAAGGGGCAGAGAGATAGCCAGATGCCCTCCTAGTCAGACCGTCTCCTCTTACCTGGTTTCTTATAAGTCACGTAGATATAGAGGAATAACTCAATGATGTAGGTGATGACAGCCGCCCACCAGTTGATGACAAACATGACAGCACAGCACAAAATAGCTCCAAAAAGAGATACCCACATGTTGTAGATCCCATAGGCAGGCCTCCACCCTGCGAGCAAGCAAACAATAGAAGGAAGACGTTTTCCACCCATTTGCTGTGCTATTCATACTACCTTGTCCTGGCATGAAGAATCTTAGCCTGTGGGTCCACCCCCTATTTTTTTTTATTATTATTATTTTTCTAAGCTTTTGAGTCTTTGGTCTGTGCAACTGGGGGTTGGATTACATAGGGTGCTATAAAATTTGGAAAATAAGCATCTGAAAAATTTCCCCTGAGGGACCCCTGACTGTTTTCTTTATACCCCATTTGTCCCAAATTACCAATGCCAAGGGTCTGAAATCTACCAGGAACATACTGCTTGACCAATTTCGCATGCAAACATCTTGTCATCTGAGCAGCTGCTTTGAAGATAACAGTATGCAATATAATAGCCAGTGTTAATTTCTCATCATCTTGTTTTGAAATTCTGTATGGTTTTTGTTGTGTTTTCCCCTCTCTCTTTAAAAATTTTTTTAAAAAGGAATTGAAAGGAGACAGGAAACATGGAATGGTGGAGACAGAGAACTTCTTGGTCAAGAAAGAGAGGTTTAAGAAAACATGCTCTTCTTTCTCACGTGAGGCAGAGCGATCACTGAGTCAGTCTACACAACTCCTTAGAAGCTGTTCTGTCACCCCAGGAGGACAATTATTTATTGGAAAAGGTGAACATTTCTAGCAAGTGCTTCCAAACCCAACACATTAGTATATCAAGCATTTTTGTAAAGAAAATATCTCTCACAGGTCCTACATCCATGGGAGGTGTCCCCGTTCTATTAATTTCCTGAAATGAAAGCAGCTAGGAAACAGTATGGGAGGGGTGGGGAAGCTCTGATTTGGAGGACACCTTTGGGTTATGGGTGAAGGATGCCTTGAATTTGGAGTTGCTGAAATACACTAGAATTTTAAAAATCTTCAGGAAAAATTTCCTTAAATGACCACAAGATGGAAATAGCACTTAAAGGGCATTTTTGGATGTAATTTCCTTTAACAAGGCTGGATTTTTCAAGGGTAGAGAGA